CCCCACAGGCGCAGCCTGCCCCATCTCCACCCCGTACCCCACAGGCGCAGCCTGCCCCATCTCCACCCCGTACCCCACAGGCGCAGCCTGCCCCATCTCCACCCCGTACCCCACAGGCGCAGCCTGCCCCATCTCCACCCCGTACCCCACAGGCGCAGCCTGCCCCATCTCCACCCCGTACCCCACAGGCGCAGCCTGCCCCATCTCCACCCCGTACCCCACAGGCGCAGCCTGCCCCATCTCCACCCCGTACCCCACAGGCGCAGCCTGCCCCATCTCCACCCCGTACCCCACAGGCGCAGCCTGCCCCATCTCCACCCCGTACCCCACAGGCGCAGCCTGCCCCATCTCCACCCCGTACCCCACAGGCGCAGCCTGCCCCATCTCCACCCCGTACCCCACAGGCGCAGCCTGCCCCATCTCCACCCCGTACCCCACAGGCGCAGCCTGCCCCATCTCCACCCCGTACCCCACAGGCGCAGCCTGCCCCATCTCCACCCCGTACCCCACAGGCGCAGCCTGCCCCATCTCCACCCCGTACCCCACAGGCGCAGCCTGCCCCATCTCCACCCCGTACCCCACAGGCGCAGCCTGCCCCATCTCCACCCCGTACCCCACAGGCGCAGCCTGCCCCATCTCCACCCCGTACCCCACAGGCGCAGCCTGCCCCATCTCCACCCCGTACCCCACAGGCGCAGCCTGCCCCATCTCCACCCCGTACCCCACAGGCGCAGCCTGCCCCATCTCCACCCCGTACCCCACAGGCGCAGCCTGCCCCATCTCCACCCCGTACCCCACAGGCGCAGCCTGCCCCATCTCCACCCCGTACCCCACAGGCGCAGCCTGCCCCATCTCCACCCCGTACCCCACAGGCGCAGCCTGCCCCATCTCCACCCCGTACCCCACAGGCGCAGCCTGCCCCATCTCCACCCCGTACCCCACAGGCGCAGCCTGCCCCATCTCCACCCCGTACCCCACAGGCGCAGCCTGCCCCATCTCCATCCCGTACCCCACCCGCACAGCCTGCCCCATCTCTGTCCTGTGCCCCACAGGCACAGCCTGCCCCATCTCCACCCCGTGCCCCACACACACAGCCTGCCCCATCTCCACCCCAGACCCCACACGCACAGCCTGCCCCATCTCCACCCCGTGCCCCACACACACAGCCTGCCCCATCTCCACCCCATACCCCACACGCACAGCCTGCCCCATCTCCACCCCGTGCCCCACAGGCACAGCCTGCCCCATCTCCCCCCGTACCCCACAGGCACAGCCTGCCCCATCTCTGTCCTGTGCCCCACAGGCACAGCGTGCCCCATCTCCATCCCATACCCACGCACAGCAGCCTGCCCCATCTCCACCCCGTACCCCACACGCACAGCCTGCCCCATCTCCATCCCGTACCCCACACGCACAGCCTGCCCCATCTCCATCCCGTACCCCACACGCACAGCCTGCCCCATCTCCATCCCGTACCCCACACGCACAGCCTGCCCCATCTCCATCCCGTACCCCACACGCACAGCCTGCCCCATCTCCATCCCGTACCCCACACGCACAGCCTGCCCCATCTCCATCCCGTACCCCACACGCACAGCCTGCCCCATCTCCATCCCGTACCCCACACGCACAGCCTGCCCCATCTCCATCCCGTACCCCACACGCACAGCCTGCCCCATCTCCATCCCGTACCCCACACGCACAGCCTGCCCCATCTCCATCCCGTACCCCACACGCACAGCCTGCCCCATCTCCATCCCGTACCCCACAGGCACAGCCTGCCCCATCTCCATCCCATACCCCTCACACACAGCCTGCCCCATCTCCGCCCTGTGCCCTAATGTACAGCCTGCCCCATCTCCCCCTGTGCCCTAACGTACAGCCCTGATTGGGAGCCATCCTAGAAACCCTTACCGTGTGGGCGCTCAGAGCAGAGAGGCTCTGGAGAGCCAGCCACTTACCGATCCGTCACACAGAAAGCAGTGTTCTTGGGTAAACTGCCAAGACTGGGCTGTGGAATCGACCCCTGTGACCTCCGGAGCGGACACATCGGGAGATGTTCAGAGTGAGCGCAGCTTTGCATATCCACGTGGAGCCAGGACAGAGGCGGGGGAGCGCGACACGGGAGGGTGACACGGAGAGGCTGGGTGGAAGGTGGACCAAGGTTGTCCACGTGGTTTAATCCAGTGAGACCCGCTTCACAGGGGGAATGACATGCTCCGATTCATGTTACAATCCTAATTCCGGCTGCGGGTAGTCTTGGGTAAATGTATTGTAGGGAGGTTGTATCTGTTAGGAATTGTGTCTGACGGCTAGTAACAAAAATCTGAAAAACAGTCATTTAAAGGGACCAACAGTTTGTTAGCAACTCTGGGGAAGCGGAAGAAAGCAGGTGCTGTCTCGTATGTTGTGAGGGCCCTGGTTTGCGGATGTCCGTTTGGTTGTTCTCAGCATGAGGCCCTGTCGTCACGTTAATAAGGTGGCAGCCATCGAACTCGAGCTCCGCAGGAAAGGCAGGAGAGACTGAAAGCAGGAATGCGATCCCTGGCTGGGCCAGCTCCTTCAGAGAGCTTCCCGGAGTTCCTGCTGAGAACTCCTCGCCGCAGGGCTCTGGTCCGAACTGCCGCGGGAAGCTGAGGTTTCGTCAGGTGGCCACACGGCCTCCCGGGTAAAATCCAGAGTCTGATAGTGAAAACGGGGCCTGGACGCTGGGACAGAACGGCTCGGTGCCGTTGGCAGCAAGAACGGAGCAGGGTGGGCGGTCGGAGGCCAGGAGAGGTCGGGACGGAGGCGAGCGTGGCTTAGATGGGGTGGAGGTGCTGGACATGGGCCGGGGATGACCGAGGTGGCACCCGCCGCTGCCCAAGCTCCCAGCGTCGTCTGCGCAGGCCCCTTCACGGGCCTGTGTCCTGCGCCGTGTGGAGTTCCTCGGAGCATTTCGCCATCACGGACACTGGCGTTGCTTAGCGAGCGGCTCACGTTGGTAGCACAGCACAGGGCAGAGGCCTCACCTGGCCGGGCTTCTGGAGCACCTGGTGCCTCACCCCCTGGGCAGGGCTGGACAGCAGGTCCCCCAAGGCCAGGGCCAAGGGCAAGTCCCTCCCCCCGGGGAGAGCCCTCTGCAGAGAGCACGCACTCGCGGCCCCTCCCCAGCAGCCTCTCTTCCTCCTGCGCCTCTGGTGTTGCACTTAGAGTTCGGTCACGCCCTGGCTGCGGGGTGTGGTGTGCAGACGGGCGCTCTCTGTGAGTAGTTGTGTTGGCGCACAGCCGTGCGTTACTGGGGCGGACCCCAGGAGCTGGGGCGACACTGCAGGACCTGAAAAGCTGACGGTAATGCCTCTCTGGCCCTTTGTGGGAAAGGGCTGCCCCCCCCCCCTCCAGCATGTGCCAGTCCCTAGAGAGAGTGAGAAAGTGGGTGCTCCCTGACGTCGGTTCTAACGGTTGGTCAGGAAGGGGAAAGATGCCGGTGGACGGGGGCCTGGCCGGGTGGGCCTCCGGGCCCAGAGAGGAAGTGCAGAGGGGGCCCGGGCGAGGCAGGCGGGAGCAGAGGAGGCCTAGTGGTGCCCCAGGCTCCCCAGTGGCAAGTGCCTACAGCGAAAATCCCCGTGAGTTCTTCCTTCATGAAGCAGAGCTGAGCCCCATGTGCATGTGTGAAAATAAAGAAAATAAAGAAGACCCTAGTAAGCCCTGCCTGCTGGGGGTCAGACAAGGACACTGAGGGCGCAAGGGGAGACGCCAAAGGTGACTTCCGGGTGGGATGAGGAAAGAGCCCTGGAGGACTTCCTGGAGGCAGTGACTTGAATGGGTGAACAGAAGCCAAAACTTCTCCCAAACCCTCTGGGAGGTTTTGGTTGGCCTGGGGTGTGTGTGTTGGGGGGGGCGGGGGGGCAGGCGGGCAGGGGCAGGCAGCTGGACAAGGGCTGGGGTGTGGGAGGTGTGGGCCTCATGGGGGAGGGAGTGAGGAAGCTGGCTGCCCGTGGTTGATTCTGGGGCGTGGCCAAGTCAGGAGCCCAGCGGTGATGAGTGGGTGAGGGGAGGGTTCTGCAGAGGAGCCTGGACGTCAGTTGGACTGACAGACCTGGAGTGGGTTGGCTTGGGTGGGAGGAAGAGAGGGGGGTGGTGAGGGCCACCTCTGGGGCCTGGGCTGGGGGAGGGGAGGGCAGGGGCTGCCCCACCATTTGGAGAAGAGGGAGCTCAGTGAGGAGGTGAGCGCGGAGGCGCGGAGCCTCCTGGGCAGCGTGTCTGTAAGTGTAGGGTGGGCTCTGCGGTAGCTTAATTGTGCTTCCGCTGTGCTGGGCAAGGGGCCGGCTCTGCTCAGCGCTGTGTGGTTTGAGCTCCTTCCTGAGACGTGGGGGCTCCATCTCTGAGTGTCACTGGGGTCCTGGCGGGGCCCTGGGGCAAACCCCCGCCGGACGGCCTTCTCGCTGGCCCGGGCTCACTTCAGGGAGCCCCACCCTCGGCTCAGGGGCAGGTGGCCTGTGGGGCCAGGAGGCCGGGGACCCCAGCCCCACAGGCTGTGCTTTCAACGAGGTGCTTCTCCGTGAGTCGGCCCAGGACCACTGCTGACCGAGCCTGGAGGGGTGCGGCCGTCCCTCCGGCAGGCGCGGTCACCCGCGCCGTGTGTGCACCCACACGTTTCAGCCTCTGCTGCCCCTGGCCTTCCGCAGGGGCCGTCGTTCTGGACAAGCACCCAGGCCTTGGGAAGCCGAGTCTCCGAGGAAACGGAAGCTCTGCTGTTCCTTCCACCGCGGGAGCCGGGCAGCCAGGCGGCGTCTGTCCCAGTCGGCCACCCTGTCTGTCCCGCGTTCCTGGCGGCTCAGGGTGGGAAGCACTGCTCCAGGGCATCTGGGGTGCAGTGTCTGTCCCCTCGAGCTCCCCGCGTCCCCGCAGATGGACCCCTGGCTGGGCTGAGTGGAGCAGCGCTGTGGATACTGAGCACAGAATCAGGCAGCATTGCCACGCGTCCTGACTGGCAGCCCTTCCTTCTTGTTCTCTTCCAGATTTCTCCGGAAGGTCGGGACGAAGCCCACTGTTCAAGAACAGGAGGCCCGTGACGTTGGCAGAGGCGAGAGCCACCGGACCCCCCAAGGGTGCTGAGAAATGTGGGTCCTCGGGGGTCACGGTGCCCGTCGGCTCCAGGCCGTGCGGCGGGTCAGGGCCCTGGGGCTCTGAGTGACCCACCGGACACTCGCAGCGGCCTCGCTGCCCACAGGCACTCGCTGCTGAAGCCCTGCCGCGGCCCCGGCCCAGGAGGATGTGTGCCCGCACTGGGGGGCCGCTCGCCGCCCTCGCCATGGTGTTTGGGGCAGCGGTGGCATTTGCACCCATACCTAGGATCACCTGGGAGCACACAGGTGAGGGCAGGAGCGCCTCAGGCGCTGACGGCATCTGCTCATGGTGCCCACGCGTGTGCCACTGGCCGCTGGCTCTGCGCTCTTGGCACTTGTGTGTGAGCAGGCGGCCTGTACACTGGTTGGGCGGGGGAGATGCTTCAGCAGCTGGAAACGCTCATGGGCTTGCAGGGGCCGCTGGTCTGGTCTCTAAGTCAGGCCCCTGAAGGCAGCCCGCCTGGTGCCTGCTGACACCAGCCACGCGGTGTCCTGTTCAGAGGATGTTAACTTCGTGCAGCTGAGCTTCTGGCCAGTGGTTCCCATTTGCTGTTTATTAGTTTCTTTTGTATTTATTTCCTCTCTTGGGAGCTGTGTCTGGAGAGCAGGACCCTAGCTTGCCAGGCGCACTGGCTGAGCGAGGGGAGCCCGCACAGGGCTCCGGGCAGCAGGTGTGCGGGGGCCTTGGTCTCCACACGGGGACTCAGAGAGCAGGAGGCGTGAACGCCTAGCTCTAGAGCAGTGGTTCTCAACCTTCTGGCCCTTTAGATACAGTTCCTCATGTTGTGACCCAACCATAAAATTATTTTCGTTGCTACTTCATAACTGTAATGTTGCTACTGTTATGAATCGTCATGTAAATATCTGATATGCAGGATGGTCTTAGGCGACCCCTGTGAAAGGGT